AGCTGCATTGCTGAAAGTCACCAGCGATGTTTCAAATGCCCTTGATAAAAGCAGCATTGTGCTGGCCTACTTTACTGATTTATCGAAGGCATTGAGGCCTTGAGTTACTACAGCACCCAAACTAAAGCACTGCCCTACATCACAGTGCTACAACCACTTTTATAGCAGAATTACCTTTGATGATACAATAATCGGTTTGCAAACACTATTAAAGGATTTCTAAGCTACTCTTTAGTCTTTGTCGATTCATTATTTAGCTCTAAATAATCTAAAGCTATAGCGAACTGAAATGCTAAGACAGCAAAACTCTCGGTGTTCTTCAGGTTTACTGATCTCTGGAGGCCTTCTCCTCACAGGTAACAACACTGATGCTTTTTCATGGCTGTCTGATTTACAGAAACATTCTTGGAAGACTATATTTACACATTTGCAGTGTTGTCTTCACCCTGTGAATCGATCATAAAAATTATAATTACTGAAATAAATGAACTTTTCCACGACATTCTAATTTATTGAGATGCACCTGTATATATATATATTAGTGCTGTCAAATGATTAATCAGATTAAACGCATCCAAAATAAACGTTTTTGTTTACATAATATATGTGTTGTATACTGTGTATATTTATATGCTATGTTATGCTATGCTATGAAAAATATGCCGTTTATATATTAAATGTATTTACATATAATATAAATTATATGAATATAAATATATACATGTAAATATTTTCAAAATATATGCTGTATGTGTGTGTCTTTATATATACATAATAAATATACAGTACACCACACGCATATATTATGTAAACAAAAACTTTTATTTTGGATGCGATTAATCGTGATTAATTGTTTGACAGCACTAATATATATATATATTCATTAAATGTTACGCTTCATTAAATAATAACATTGATAGAATATTGTAACGTAATGAAAGCACAAAATTTTATTTTGTGTAAAATATATAAAAATATATATAAAATATTATGATTTCTTCATTAAATAACAATTAATTTAATTTAAATGTGTCATTCTTTAAACTCGTGCAGTGCTACAACAAACATCTGATGTTCAAAGTTAGTCCAGAGGCTCTGTACCCACTCAGAAAGCTGCTAAATTAGGAAACTAGTTTCACTAGTTTGTTGAAACAGTTAAAACAGTGAGAAAACAGGAAGTTTATGAGTAACAGTGAGTGAGAAGTTCTCAGTTTGCAAACGTCCTATTTTGGAACAAGGTCTTACAAAACCTAACAAAGCCTAACACTGTTTGACCCAAAGCATGTTGAGAAAGCAGCATTTCAGTTCACTTTGCTAAGACAAACAGGAAAAAATGACAACAGCTCTGAATGACTAAACAGAACGGCTGTTTATCTCCTCCCGCCAAATATAATCACCAGCTACAGCTGCAATAAACAAAAAGCATGTCACACCTTACATTAACACCTCCCAAGAGTGTCTTAGAGAAAAAAAACAGCTTAATGTACTAATAACAAATCATCTTTTGAACATCTCATACATTCATAAGCGATGTCGCTGGTGTGTTTTACACGGCCAATGGCGCTTGGCAGCAGATTTACATCACTGATTCTTCAAACTGACTTTGAATATAATCAAATAAGTTGTGGAGCAATATCAGAGGAGAGAGAGAGAGCGATCAGTAGCTACTATGACTCTTCAGCAAAGTCCAACAACTTCATAAAATGGAAATTTACAAAGTGATACATACGTAAAAGGACATGTAAATGGCTTGCATACCAGAACTTGAACGTTCACGAGACAAAGAGACACAAGTGGAAGCGGTCAAGCGTGTTAGAATACACACTGAAAAAATGTTAGTCATTTTAAGAGAAAACTATGTAAATATGCATAAAGTGTATACAGTAAGTAACCATATACAGTGAAATGAATTCAAATATATTAAGAATTACAATAATTGCAATAAATTGTAATATAATTACTAAATGTATAGTATTTAATAGAATATTTTTATGGTTACAAACTGCAAAATATAGGCGCCAAAATGCCTGAAATTGTTTTTTACGGTAAAGATCTTGCAAACAGAGCAACCTGTTTTTTTTAAACAAATTTAAAAAGATTATTTTACAGTAAAATATTCATAAAACAAAACTTTTCCAATTGTGCGCACATAAAACAATGCAAAAAATTGTAAATTGGCCATAAGCAAACAACTCAAAATGTCAAAAATTTACATCACACAGTGTAACTGTTAGCTTTTCTAAAGCAATATATAATACACAAATAAATTCATTATGAAACAAGCATTTTTATAAATAATTTCGGAGCTATAGATGCAGACAGAACATATAGAGTAAATGTGTATATCTGAGGCTGTTTGTGTTAGTTTAGTTCTTACCTGTGTGTAGTGTGAGAGCTGTATCTCCACTGAGAGTCAGACAGGAACACACACATGGGTCACCAGCCAATGTGGCTCACCGCAATGCATTCTGGGACAGATACTAACGTATGCCCCGGTGTGTCACAGTGCACGACCAAGCATAGAGTAGCATGCATGCAAAACACTGCGTTAAGATGTTTAAGTGTGTGCATGTGTTTACGGTTTCAATGTGTGATCACATGATAAAGCAGAGACTGAAGCAACTGTGAGTGTGTGTTCAGCGATCATTCTCTCTATCACCATGGAAACCTGCTTTTATCTGATTTGCATCTGGGTGTACCAGCCGCAAAGAGAGCTGTGTCATTTTCCCCTAGAAAACACCACTGCCCTCCTCAGAGACTCTGAGAAGTTTGCCACACACGTTTCACACACATAAACACTTTCCCAAATCCTAAACGTGGAAAAAACACGGCCATAATCCCGTTTAGAATATCATACTAACATACACGCCCTAAAAGTCAAAGCTTCAAAAAGAGGAAACGGCTTTCATACACTGCTAAAGATAACACAGCACGCCTTGCACAGGAAGAGGGTTGCAGTTGCTCTATACAGAAGCCCCGGAAAACTATTTTAACATGGGAGTCGCACTTAAAAAAAGAGTAACATGTGAGTAACACTTGAAAAGTTTTAAACCAAGTGGTTTCTGCAAACAAATAATGTACAAACATTGAATGTATAGTTTTATGATTTGAAACTTACTGTAACAAACATCTTTTTGTGTCATGTTTTGACATTTCTTTAATGTGGGTCACTGTATGCATGTGTGAAAGCATGTACTTGCACTCTAAAAAATGCTGGGTTAAATATAACCCAGCGCTGGGTTATATTTAACCCAGCATTTTTTAGAGTGTGTGTTTGCATGTGAACTAGTGTGTGTGTGTGTGTGTGTGTGCGCAAGGTTACTTGAGGTCTGTAGTTCACTCGTGCCAGGTGTGTTATCTCAGACGCTCCACATGACTGAGCCAATGGTAGAGTTCCTCTTCTAAACTCACTCACCTGGTACAAAAACACTCACACATCTCACTAATGCAACCCCCTCGGGTGTTACTTACACTAATGTGAGAGAGAAACAGATTTAAGGCTAGTGTATTTGTACAAATAAAGCCTCTGGTCATTATCTACAGAACATTCAATGCGAAAAAAAAAAATAGTAAGGCAGGATTTTAACCACGTAAAATTGATTAGATCACCAAAAGGGGGTGTTTCTCATCAGAACGGAGCCCAATGTTAATGCCAGCTTGCTGTAGATTGTTGGGGGTTACTTCACTTCTTCACATTGAGGAGTATTTTAACCTGGAACATGGAATTCCAATGGTAATACCAATCAATGGTTTCTGTTATTGCCATGAACTTTAATACTTCAGTGGAGTTTTGTTATTGTTAACTCAAACTATTAAAACTAAAACATTTTTATTAGTTTAAATAAATCTGAAGTAATATAAAATATAAATATTAGATGAAAAACTAAACTAAAAGATAGATAGCATTTTTAAAAACAAAAATATAAATGACAAAAAACATAAAATACTGAATGAAAATATATTAATGAATAATGAAATAATTATAAAACCAATTCAAAATATGAATAAAAACTATAATAGTATATAATACTAAAATAATACTACACTGATTCAGTGTTATTGCATGTTAACGCATTGAAGAGATTCACCCAGTAATGAAAAATCTGTCATCACTTACTCACCCTCATATCATTCCAAACCCATGACGTTCTTTCTTCTGCAAAACTCAAAGCAATTTTGGACTCCTTTAACTTTCATTGTATGAACAAAACACGGAGACATTCCTCACAATATCTTCATTTGTATTCCATGCACAAAAGAAAGAAGAAATGACATGAGGTTAAGTAAATGACAGAATTTTCCGTTTTGTGTGAACTATCCCTTTAAATTACTTTTTAATAAAGGAAAAAGGATGTAATTGAATTTCATGTTGACCACATGTCATTATGATGTCAAACAAGGTTAAAGGATAACCTTCCCAAGTGAGACGACCTTTTAAAAAACTGCCATCATGCCACAGAAAACAAAAAAATCCAAGAAAACCCAATGAAAATGAAGTTCCAATGATAAAACCTTCAAGTACCTCCAGTCCGATAAGAGAATCTTTGTAAAATCTTGTTACACAATAGACTAACTCTTTATGTTCCATAGATTCCAATGAATTTCCAAAGAGAAGCAATCTGTGGTTTTCTAAAGAACCATTCATCTGTTGTTGAAACTGATGAATGGTACCTGGAACCAACACACCAATAACTTCCCATCAAAAACCTACCCCATAGCTGAACCGAAGAACCTTTAGAGTGATGCAGAGAAAGAGGAATGAAAAACGAGGGCACTTGAGGAAACGAACCACAGAGAGAAAGCAAGTGTGCTCAACATACAATGCCTCATTTCAAACCTTTCCCAGCTCACTTCTAACCTGGCACGTCACTGAATATCAGGACGCCAAACATCCTTAGCTTGTGAAAAACCCATTCCAACAGCATTCCCAAGCCACCGGTGGACAGGAAGTCCTCGTCTAGCCCTCTGAGTAATGGCACACAGACAGTCTGCGGTCCTACCTGACTCTGAGCCGCTCAGATCCAGTCCCGTATGTCCTCTCTGCCGACAGGAAGCACATTCAGTCCGTCCCTATTTACAGTCCCCTGGCACTGCAGTACGGCTCACAGCTGGTGCATTCCTGCTCCGCTCTGCCTCAGCTGATGGAGAGAGGAGAGATAGAGGAGGGAAAGAAAACGCAGGGTACAGTAAGAACATACCGTACAAATCATCTACTGTGAATGTGAGGTCAGCAGATGCCGGTCAGCCAATGAGTGTCTCGATCTGTAACAACATGAGGAAACTGTATAATGCACCTCTTATTATTTCATCCATTTCCCAGGGAACTGCACAAACAGAAGCATTATTATTCAAAGCAGACACAGCAGCAGTTTGTCTCGCTGACGTCTCGCTGATGATACCTAGAGCGACGACTATCGAGTAACAAGGCCATTTTCTTGTCCTCATGTCGGTTAGTCATCACTCAAATGCAATTAAAATGCAGTTAAAGATCATACGACTTCATAATTGGAGTTGTATTGTCCATTTAGTCCATGTCTGTGAGTTCTGAGGTCATGGATGTGTAGTGTACTAGAACAAGTTGACAAAATACTCTACCGTTCAAAAGTTTGGGGTCAGTAGGATTTAAAAAAAAAAAGATATTAATACTTTTGTTCAGCAAGGATGCACTAAATTGATCAGAAGTCACAGTTAAGACATTTATAATGTAACAAAACTTTTTAAAGCGATGGCGCCGATGCTGATTTTTTTGTTCTGTCACTGTCATTCTGTTACACTGTGGAAGCTTCTGTCACGAAAACAAATTCCTCGTATGTGTAAACATACCTGGCAATAAAGCTCATTCTGATTCTGATTCTAAATAAATGTCTATTAATCAAAGAATGCTGAAAAATGTATCACAGATTCCAAAAACTTATCATCATATTAAAATGATTGTGTGTTTATGCAAATTGTGACCAATAAAATGCTCTCTTGACTGAGAAGTTTTACAAATTTGTTCACTTGCCCTTTAAATTTGACAGTCTAGTGATAATAAGTAGCAAATCAAGGCTGCCCAGCACTGTGACATTATAATACATTTTAAATTATTATAATTACAAATGTCAACTCAGAGATTCTTCTATGAAGCGTTCATGTCTGAACCAGAAATTATTACTTTCTATGGCAACGCCAAAATAGGTACCTATGTGCAAAGAAAATTATAGTCATTGAAGTGTATGAACAATCATGAAGATTTGTAACTTGACTCACATCATGTGAAGACACAAACATCTGCATTGAAAGTCACAAAACTGGAGCATGATGGAAAATGACCAATGAAAAGTTAGCCAAAAAACATTACTGTATATCAGGCCAATAATTCAATTCAATTCAATGAAACAAAAAATTATAATGTGTTATATAATATATAATCCATGTTCAATATTTTACATAATAATATAATTACATAATAAAAATAAAAATATTATATTATCATGATATTATGAGTATAAATAATTATATAATTATAATATAAAATATTTTAAATAATTTAAATATATTTAATTAATAATTCTTATGGTTTTCCGGGACCCCCTCAATGTCAAATGTTCCCCAGAGCTTCCAATTTCAATATAAAAGATGTCAATACAGCATTAATAAAACAATACCATGGATCTTTAATAAACATATTGTGATGTTCTATAAAATGTTGATAAACAATACTGAATGCATCCGGTGGTAATAAATAAAACACAATTGCGTAAAAAGAATGTTTCTGTCCAAATAGTTTCGAGAAATGTTCTAATTATCATAGCACACAAAAACATCAAAGCTCCAGATGGCTGTCTGACTCATCTCAGCTGTTAGGATGCGTTTGATTATGAATTTAATCCTGTGTAAATAAAAAAAAAAGGATTAGACGAGAAACAGAGAATGAGAGGAAGATACCAGACAAGACTAAGCTGTCTTGAGGATACACATTTTTTCATTATTTCTGACATAATCGTATTGTTCATGCTCTCTTGCTCCCAGACGATCACTGCTAGCAAGTTAATGAATGGTACATTCACATGTGGCGCACGTCTGTTAATGCAGAGCTCTCCTCATTCTTAAAATCATGATGCTCTCAGCTCATGATGTCATTTGGGCTCAGCCAATAAGACGAAAGCAGACACACTGAATGACAGATACACTGAACTGCTGTGACTGGTCAGATCAATATAGACATGGTCACAGGTGCCGGCATTTCTGTTTTTCAGAGGTCTTCAAACACCATCAATATACTTTTAACATAGACATTTGATTTTAGATTTTACAATTTAAAAAAAAAAAAGCATAAAAAATACATTGCTGATTTACACAACAGTCACGCAACCCACAAAGTGGACCAAATTCAGAGTTGTGCAAAATTCAGAACTGAAAAACTGAGTGTGAATTTGAATCGAATTGGCCACACCCCACAGGAAGTTAGATTGGAATGACAGGAAGAGGAATTTATACTGAAATGGAATTCAATGAAATTCATTACAGGTGAGGCATTCTGGGAAATTAAGCGTTAATCCACCCTGAACCAGAAGATTTTATAAAAATGGATGGATGGATAGAATGATAGAACAATAGAACGTTAGAAAGAATGTTAGATAGATAGATAGATAGATAGATAGATAGATAGATATAGAACAACAGAATGATAGAACGATAGAATGATAGAACGATAGATAGA